ACTGGATATTCCAGGTGTTACCTCCCACGGTCGTCCATAAAATTTGAACTTAGAGAATGACAATCCTATCAAATGTAAAGTAACCCAGTATCCAGTTCACCTTAGGGATGCATTTGACCGAGAGGTAGACAAATTATTAAAACTAAAGATCATTGAACCTTCAATATCTCATATTGTTCACCAGTAGTCATGGTTAAGAAGGAGGATAATTCATATAGACTTGCTATTGACTTCAGAGGCCTTAATGCATAACTCTGGTGGGATGCTGAGCCTATGCCCTAATAGATAGCGATCTACACAAATTTTATGATCTTCCTTCTTTTCAGAGATTGATATGCGCAGGCATATCATCAAGTAATGTTAGATCCTTCTTCTAAGCAGTACACCGCTTTTTCCTACACACCAAGGACTGATGCAATATAGAACTATGCCCTTCGGTTTGGTAACTGCCCTGTGCTACCTACGTGAGACTGAATGAGAAAGGTCTTGGTAATATGCCAAATGTTCAGTTATTTTGATAACATTTACGTAATGACATCTACGTGGGGCGAACATATCCAAACATTAACATCAGTTTTGCGTAGGTTTACGCTCACAAGGCCTCACTGCCAAGCCGAAGAAATGCTTCCTTGGTATAACAAGATATAGATATCTTGGACTGATACTTTCTAATAACTCTCTGCAAGCCTCTCCCCAGTAAGATCAAAGCTTTATTAGAATTTAAATTCCCAAAACCAAGAAGCTCATGCGAGCTTTCTTGGTTCTGTAAATTTTATGCACGGTTTATCCCAACTTACTGACTTACAGGCATCTTATCGACTTCCTTAAAAAGTCTGTGAAGGAACCTCTTGAACTTTCGACGTAGCTCGGGAAAAGTTTAATGAGATTAAAAGTATCTTTTCGAAAGACCCTATACTTAAGATTCCAGATATATAATAAAACATTTTGTTTAAGAACTGATGCCTCCAATACTGGCTTAGGTGCGTGTTTACTACAATACCATGATGGTACTCCCTTCCCTGTATGCTTCCTAAGAGCCGGAAACTCCTTCCCGCAGAAACAAGATACTCCACAATAGAAAAGGAATGTTTAGGCCCTTGTGTGGGGTATCTCCAAACTTAAATTTTATTTGCTGGGAAAAGAATTCATTTTAGAAAACGGACCACAAACCTTTGAATATACCTAGAAACTTTTAAGGGAACCAACAGTCGCCTCTTGAGGTGGACATTGGCACTCCAGCTTTTAAGTTCCATATTGTGTATATCAATGGTTCATCCATTATTTCTCTGACAGGTTAAGTCGTGACAGTCATTAGAAGATTTGTTGCCTTACGCACTTCCACATTTTTAGAACTTTTTTCCTCGCCTATTCATCTTATCCCTGACTATAAGTCTTGGAATGGGGGAGTGTGAGGGAAAAGTTCAGTAATAGGAGTAGCAATAAAGTAACAAAAGTTACCTTACCGGCTACTAGTTAAGGGTAGGGTAAGTCACGCACCGCCTTTCTTCCCCCTCCCCGAAAGTGATAGTTCATTGGCCGGCTTACTAGTTAGGTAGGGTAAGTCACGCTCCCGTTATCACCGCCTTTTCTCCCCCAACCATAAAGTGATAGTTGATTGCCGCTGCTTGTTAACGTAGGGTCAGTCTATCTCCCGCATCCCTTCCCCTCCCTCTTCCATCCTCCCCCCCCGAAAGGTGACTTGTGTGCTCATTTCAAACAGTAAAATCAACTAGACTCCACAGCTCAGCTCCCAACTCTCCTCTTGGATGACAGTGAGGGTCACCTGTCAATCAACGAGAAGAACTGGATAAGGACAAAGGTCCCCATAGACATCCCCATTTTGCATTTAAGTACCTTGCACCTGTATGAAATTGCAGACGCAACCCCACATCATTGCACGGTAGCGAACCTGCTTTTCCTGCATCGGAGAGATTACCACGGTATACGTGAAGAACTAGCCAGTGGATGTCACCAACACCTCACCCCCCCCCCACCCCCATCATCAGCACGTCTACGATTACAACAACAGTGTCCACCACACCAAACACCTCTGTAGATATTAGCGTTGAGTTCAAATGTAATTTTATCATTTCATTTATTTCATTTTTCTTTCAAATAGGATACACCTTTCATGTTTATTGTTTTATTTTTGATTTAATAAATAATAAAGTGTATTATTCTTTGTGAATTATTATTTCTTTATCTATTCATTAATTTTTCCTGAGGATGAGCCACCTGAGTAATACTGTCTGAAGTTGTTACAGGGCTGAGGTAAGCCTTCAAACACACAATATAGTATTTTAGATGGTCAAAGACTGCAAAACCACACTCAAGGAAAAAGCTCTGGGTGTGAGTATAACACCGAGCATATCTCCTGGAGGCGCAATCATACGGGCCCTGGCAACCTACGATAGCGTTCCAATACCTCAGTAAGGATTCGTTTCAAAGACTCTGTAATAACATTTACGTCAGTCCCATACAGGATTATGCAGCACCATTTTTGGAATCCACAGCTAGTCAAGCACGTCAAAAAAGTAGAAGAAAGTGCAAACGTTTCGTCACGACAAGACTAGTCCCAGAGCTACGGGGATTGTCCACGAAGAAAGGTTGAGGGAAATCGGCCTGACGACACCTGGAGGACAGGAGGGTCAGAGAAGACATGATAACGACATATAAAATACTGTGCGGAATAAAAGGTGAGACAAGACGGATGTTTCCAAGAAGACAGAGACACAAGAGGTCACAATTGGGAAGTGAAGACCTCAGAAGAAATCAAGGGATGTTAGGAAGCATTTCTTCAGTCATAGAGGAGTCAGGCCGTGAATAGCCTAGAAGTGACGTAGTTGTAGGCGGTGAACCTAACATAGATTTAAAGGCGAGTATGATAAAGCTCATGGGGCAGGGAGAGAGAGGACCTAGTAGCAATCAGCGAAGAGGCGGGGCCAAGAGCTATGACTCGACCCTTGCAACCACAAATAGGTGAGTACAAATAGGTGAGTACACACACACACACACACACACACACACACACACAACACACATACACACACACACACACACACACACACACACACACACACACACACACACACACAGTTGGAAGTTGAAGGCTCAGATGAATCACAGGGATGTTAGGAAGTATGTCTTCAGTCACAGAGTTGTTAGGAAGTGGAATAGTCTAGGAAGTGATGTAGTGGAGGCAGGATCCATACATAGCTTTAAAAAGAGGTGTCATCAGGCCGATTTCCCTCAACCTTTCTTCATAGGACATTCCCCTTAGCTCTGGAACTATCCTTGTTGCAAACCTTTGCACTTTCTCTAATTTCTTGACATGCTTGACCAGGTGTAGGTTCCAAACTGGTGCTGCATACTCAAGTATGGGCCTGACCTACATGGTGTACAGTGTCTTGAACGATTCCTTACTGAGGTATCGGAATGCTATTCTCAGGTTTGCCAGGCGCCCATATGCTGCAGCAGAAATTTGGTTGATGTGTGCTTCCGGAGATGTGCTTGGTTTTATACTCATCCCAGTATCTTTCTCCTTGAGCTAGGTTTGCAGTCCTGTGTGTTGTGTGTGTGTGTCATTAACTACCTTGTCATTAAATGTCATAAAGTCTGAATATTTATTTTTTTCAGAATACCCAGTATGCCCCGGAAAATTCAGTTGTCAGTAGCTCAGCAAAGAAATATTTCCAAAGAATCAAGCGAAAAATATGCTGTGGTCTTGGTGAAGACAAAATGCCATGCAGAATTTTTCTCTGCTATCGTAATGGAAAACATAGAAGCTAGAAATGAAGAACCAGTACCACTACCAGAAGTTTCTTCTAAGGACCCACCCGCATTCCCAAGTACATCTGCATAAAATAATAAAAACATACCAAATCAAGATAACAAAGTTCATGAATCGCCACAACCACATTCTACAGATATTTCTGTAAACATGGACTTTGAAGTGCCACCATGTGATTCAGACCCAGTCATGTGGCTTCCTGTCACAGAAAAGCATGTGTCCTTTTGGTCAACTGCCACCATATAGATACCGAAAGTGTGACGCCAAAGATACAAATACACATCGGTAATTATTATGTAGTGTAGATGGAACATATTACAAACTGAAAATTATAGTTAGCTCTTCTTAGTCAATAAAACTGAGAAAAATAAAATCAGACGTCTTCGAAACCTGACATATTTTATTTTTCGAAAACTGTTGTTTATCATTCATTTAGATCGTTTCTTATTTGTAATTCAATTTAATTTCCATGTTCAGGGCCCCCCAAACCTAAAGTGCCCCAGTCCCCTCAAGGTCTAAATCCGGCCCTGGCTCGCAAGACACTGTCTAGCTCTTATACAATGTCATATGGACTACGCTTGCTCTTCATGGTACTCTGCCTTGACAAAAAAATGAAAGATTGACTACAAATCACCCAGAACAAAATGGTAAGATTCATCCTGACCTGGATCCAGGAGAGCATGTAAGCCACGATGAATTACAGCAATTGGATAAGTTAAATGTTGAAGAAAGTAAAACTGCTCACAAACAGTGTCCAGAATATCTTGCTGCGAATTTTGTCAAGGCTGGGAGCCAAATCAATCATAGTACTAGGGGGAGAGAGCACAACTTTGGTAAAATAATCTTCGCTCATGTAGAGTACTAGTGGTACAATAATCTCCATCTGCGTGCAGCCCTGACCAGGCCCTGATCCACCATGAGGCCTAGTCACAGACAGGGCCGCGGGAGCGTTGACCCCGAAGCCCTCTCCAGGTATGCTCCAGTATACTCTCAATACAATAGTAGTGGAGTTCAGCGCCTCTGGTGGTGAGAATGGTGACCTTTAGAGAGGTTCCTTGAAGGTGGTGCTGGTGGCATAGATCACATCCAAGGAATGTGATCTATGCCACTTGGGAGTGAACTTATCCTCCCAGGTGGTCCATGACCCCCACGGGTTGAGCGCTCCACCATGAGTAGTATTGATAGTGATGGTGTAGTAGTGCCATCTAGTGGTGGTAGTCAGAGTTAGTCAGGTTATCAGTGATGGTGTTATAGTGAAGGTTAGGACAGTGACCAACCTCAAGGTCACTAAAGTTCAATTGAACTTCAGTAGTCGTACGGAAGAGATATGTTGCTCCTCCTCCTGCCGCCCCTCCGGCTTTACCGCTTCCTCTTCCTTTTAATGCACCTAAATAACGTAAGTATTGTCTGGTGACATATTTGTCAGTACAATAGAGTTGAGCTGCAGCTTCTGGTTCCCACAAATTTTAAATCTTAATTTTCTTTGCGGTCTAATGTCTTCAAGGGGGGGGGATTGACCTTAGTGGAGGGGTTTTGATGCGTTACATAACTCATAATTGTGTATCCAGTTCTGGGGTTTTTTCCATTATTGAAAAATAACTTAGTGAAGGTCTCTTGATCCAAGGAACTTGCGCCTTGTGATGCAGATATAGACTTCCATGTTAACAAATTGCTAGTCATCAGGTTAATGTGAAAGAAATATTTTTATACAGAAAAAGATAGCTTTACTTACTATGTTAAACATTAATGGTTATATCAGTCCGGCAGTAATGTTACTGGTTTATATTACATGGTAATGTTTGTGTGTAATGTTCATGGTTATAATGCGAATGTTTTGTTTCAGGTGTGGTAACTGAGGATTGCTGTGCCAGGCTGTCTGCTGCAACAGTCATCAACACAGCAACTTTGACCAGTTTGAGGGGTGGAGACAACCACACCAGTAAATGGTCTGACCCATAACATTTAGTGTTATATGGAGATGCAGCAGTTGGAGACGTCGTTAGAGGTGGGCAGGGCCCACTTGTAAGGTATTTCCAGGTTATACAAGTCCACTATAGTTTGGTTATTGAAGCAGATAGTAATTGTATTAGGTAGGAAGGTGGTGGGGAGAGTATAGGAAATATTGTAAGCAGTTGATATCAAAAGTAGCTTAGTAGGAAGTATTAGCTTATCTCCCGACCGGAGATGAAATCTCTGGCCAGGAAATAATGAGGAATGTATTATATAGGTTACCTTGAATGGGGTGGAAATTAAAATTGGAGAAATGAGTTGTAAAGCTTAGAACTGAAGACTGATTAAATTTTAGGAAGTTTTAGTTAGTGTAATATATTTATTATGTAGTTTAAAACCATCCTGCAAGATGAAATGTGTAAGTGACATATCATGGCTCAGTTGGTAGTGGCATCAGCTGAAGAACCGAGATTCGATCCCGGGCACAAGTGGTCCTGTGCCCTTATATTCATTGGCACTGTTCACATAGAGGAACACTGCAACAGGCCTACTGGTAGGGGTCGCATCCCGGGGGAGTATAAATACCCTAATGAAAATGTCAGAGATGTCATCCTGACGATTGGGTAGTTGTGTTAATCTACCGGGTTAATAATTATACTAAGATAGTTTAGTGTGGTGAGGGTAATGGCAGTCTTGATGCCGGGTGTAAGGAAAGCCTATTAAATCAGGCATATCCATTATTAAGACATAAGAAAGGAGCACTGAAATAGACCTCTTGGCCCATGTTAGGCAGGTCTTATTCTCAACCACTTATTTGTTTAACTTATTTTTAAAACTACACAGCCAAAGTTTCACATGACGGGACAAATTTTCCTTAGGCAGAATATATCATAGCCGAAAAAATCAATAACAATTCCTCAGAAATGTGGAATTAACCACATCTTCCTATTTTCAATAGGGTTGTAGAGGGCCTGGCCAAGTAATTTTATACTTTGAAGTCCCAAAATATTTTCAGTAGTATAACCTTGTGGGTTTAGCGCTTAAGACTCCAGACACTATTAGAGCGTCTTGGGGGGGGGGGGAGCATTTGTTTTGAAATTAGGTTATACAGTATATATTTACGGAGACTTTGTAGACCCCTTGATCTTACCTAGACCCCTTGATCTTACCTAGACCCCCTTGATCTTAACTTTACTTCCCTTCATTCCCCATGCGCAGCCACTGCTCTGCAAATTAGTAAGGCCTATACTTGGAGTATGCTGCATATTTTGGTGTATAACACTTAGTAGTAACTAATAATTGTAGACCTACAATCAAAATAACTTATTTAACACCACCTAATTCTATAAGATAGGTAAGGTATAGAACTGGAGAATTTGCTATATGCATTATGAATGCATATAGCAGGGAGAGTAATCTTCCCTGAAGGCATAGATTACGTAGAACTGTGGCTTGGAACCCACCAACGACCTTCAGAAGCTGTGTGGAATCTGTTATTGTACGTGGTTTCCGTGGGGATGTTGGTGGGTTTCGGGCTTTGGGTAGTGGTTGCGGTGGGTGTTCTACGTATTTTATGCCTTTGGCCAAACTGTGCAAAGTTAGATATTGATTTATTGAGTTTACACAATTTCATTTTGGAAAATTTAAGCGGTGTTCAGGTTCCTATGAATATAAAGTATTAGTGTTCAGAATTGCAATTGGTTTGATAGTTCGTAAGTAGTGAAGTCTAACCCTTCTGGCAGCAGCACATTTAATGATGAAAATCTCTGTGATTTGAAGTGAAGTGTTAGTCGGTAGACAGGATTCACAAACAACTGATGCTGATGAGCATAGTTAGGGGGGTGATTTATATTGGCTTTAGTGAGAATAGGATTATTAGCCCTGCTGGGTTAAAAAATCAAGGTAGAGAGTGTGGGGTGGGGGGGGGGGGGGCGGGCTTGAATGTAGTGGCCCTCAGGTTGTTCCTAGGATGTCAGCCATAACTGGTAGGTAAGGTAGGTTATGAATTCAGGCTAGCATAGTAGTGTGTTAGGAAATTGTATACGACAGGTTTCCAACTGGTTAGGTAACCCATAGTGTTGGTTGTTACCCTAGTGTGCTATGAGGGACATGGAACTGTAGGGGAAATACAATGTCTTAATGATCTTAACTACCTTCATGTTAAATTTGGATGCCCTTCAAGGGTTGTCTTATACTTGGGAAGGTATCTTGACAAGCAGTTGCAACATTCCCCAAGCTGTGGATGGGTAAATGTGTTAGTATGTAAAATAGTTTGAAGTGGGGGGGGGGGGGAGTTGGGGGGCGGTCGGTAAACTCGGAATTAAATCTGATTGGCGACAGGTCGATGAATTCAGAGGAGAGTAGTGCACGTAGACTAAAGTAATTTTTCCCCAGTTAAATATAGGCGTCTAAGGGGTGTCAGGAGTAGGTTTGGCTAGGTTGTAATGTATGTTACGGAGTTTACCCGCCTAATCGCCGCAGAATCTTCCTGACAAGACAGAACACTGGAGACGAGGTGATCATAATAGGCTGTATTAGAAGACACTTGTGCATGCGGAAGTGTTTGCAGTGGAGATACACGACTGTCCACTGCCCACCGTCGCAATACTTTTTCGTATTAGGAAACTGACAATACAAAGGTCATGAAATTTTTAAATGTATCATACCTCAAACTACTAATAATGGCAGTATTGAGGCTATCCGCCTCATTACTACTATTGTTAGTAGGCTTGGGGTAGGTATAATTTTTTGTTTTCCCCCCTCGAGCGTAAAGCTCCCGAATTGTGTGAATGTTGTCTTCCTGCAGACAAATACAGCAGTTGAGGCATGTCTCAGTCATTTCCTTTTTCTATTTCTGTGTTCCTTGAACACCTGTGTGTGTGTCCCTCGAACATTGCAGTGATAAAGAAAAAGAATGTTTATTACATTTTAATTAAGTTTATCGAATCTTGTAGGTTGAAGATATTCCCCGTGTTGTGGGCAGCTGCAAGTCTGCAGAGATGTCATCAACAGCATCACCCCAAAATAATATCTGCAAAGCTAAAAATATAGACATTACTAGATTATTCATGAACTGCAATAAGCAATAGTTTGAAGTCTTATGTATTTAGAATGCTTCCTTCAACATTTTGTATAAAGAGAATTTTCTAAAATATTTTCAAAGGTGATCTATCATAAATTACGATGAAACTGAAGTAATCCAAGTTTTTTTTTAAATTACGACAGGTTGATGGAACTGGATGAGCTGGAGGTGTTGATGGTATGGTGGATGGCAGAGGAGTGACTAGTGGCGCCACTATTCTTGACCTCTATGGCTAAATGGCGCCATTGACCTGGAGGAAGGGGGTGATGACGTCAGCGGTTGTTTGTGGGGAGGGGGAAGGTCTTTAGGGGAAGGGTTCATTCATTCATTCATTAGAGGTTTGCCGGTATTTCCGGCCCGGGTCTTCTCCATATGGTGACCCGGCTGTGGCCCCCGTTTGGGGGTGTCGTTCTTCTTCTTTCTTCTGTCTTTTTTGGCCCTCCCCTGGAGGGAACCCTCTTCTTCTTTTTTTGCGGGACCCCCCGGGAGGGGGTGTCATCTCGCTTTCATTTTCATCAGCGGGCGTCACTTGGTCTCATCAGCAGGCGTCCACTTGGGCTTTTGGCAGGCATCGCCAGGGTTGAGGGTCTTGGGCATTGTTGCCCCGTCAAGTTATTGGGTAGTGTGGCAGGGGTTTGGCAAATTTTCAACTTTTCCTAGAAAACAGTTACAGGCTGGGTGGATTTTTTTTTTAAGTGGGGGGGGAGGGGGGTAGGGGAGTGAAAGAAGGAAAGTAGGAGAGTTAATAGATGGAGAAGTCGTGGCGCTTTTGTTGTATGTGGCGTCGTCATCGGGCAGTGGGGTGGCACCAGGATGGGGATAGATTTTCCCAGGTCAAGGACGGCCAGGTCCCCGCGGGGCTTTTGTTGTCTTCTCGGTTCGGGTCCCCAGGCCCGCCCCAGCCCCGTCGCGGGGCAGTCGGGAGGTAGTGCACTAGTGGCTCGGGGACATCTGGTTGCGGCAGCAGCCTCCTCCGCACACGGTCGATGAGTCTTCTGGCAGTAGGGTACCAACCGGGCCGGGGTGGACCCCAAAACCCAACCCCTCCCCTTTCCTCTGCATGCCGGGGGGGGGTCCCCTTGGGTCCCCCTGCCCCTTACAGATCCGGCTCCGTGAGGCTGGCCCTGGTGGGGCCCTGGCTGAAGCGGCTGCCCACAGGTCCACCTCCTCGGCTGATGGCGTGGGGTCACTGGCTGGGGTTCAAGGGTTGTGACTTCCCCGCGCCATCCGCCGCTCTTTCCCATGAGGTCGAGTGGCTGGGAAACCCAGTTGATTGTTGTTTTGCCGTCCTTGCTCATTAAGTGTCTGCGGGCCCTTTCCTGATGGCAGAAATTTACCGGATGTTTCCCGGGCTCCCTGTCAGGGCCTGGTCGCCCCCTTGGAGTCGACGGAATGAGGGGGGTCGCCGATGATCCAGGAGCGTGTGTTGCAGGCCCCTGGAGGGGCAGGGGTTTTCTCCCGGGGAGGATGGTGCAGGATCCGGAGTCGCCATCCGGCGTCAGGGTGGCATGGTGTACCCGGGGCACCTTGCGGCCACCCTGGTCCGGGACCCTCGGGTAAATACGGCGCACCCAGGGTACTCTGTGCTGCAATACTCATTGCAGCCCTTTGCTGCAGCACGTTTTTGTGGACAGTGACGCTTGCTAACTGGGAGTCTTGGATGGGCCCACAATGCTTTGGTGCCCAGGGGGGAGTACGAGTACCCCCCACGGGCCTTCCAGCCCCTGTCCATTAATTGCCGGGGGGAGGGTTTGTCGCTACACTGCCACTCCACACCCAAGGGGCCGGGAAAATCCCTGATGTCCCCTGTTGAGTTCAAGGGGGTCTTGCCAGTCCCTCTCCACCGGGGATTGTACTATTTGGCCACCCCCCTGGCAGCAAAAGGCGATCCTATCGCGTGGGGGCTGCAGTTGAGCCTCATGATTCAGGGGGAAAACGGTGTTTCGTCCCCCCTTGGGCGTGCCCAGATGATCCGAGTGCGTTTTTTGGACAAAAGTGATCTTCGAAAGGTGCGGGGGGGGGAGGGCCCCAGGTGGGGCCCTAGCCCGACGAGGAGAGCCACTGCCTGCACTAGAAAATCGGAGAATTCCTGCTGGCCCCTGCCCTAGGGTTGGGGGGGGGCCCGCAGGGCCCGGGTGCCCCGGTTTTGCAGGTCCGCCTCGACGTACCTCCCGATTCCGAAAGGAGAGCCAATTGTCAATGTGCACCCCCCTAGGTACAGGTACGCTGACCCCCCGAGATTGACCCTGACACCTATTCCCCCTTCCCGGGCACTTTGGCGTGCAGGTCAGGGCCCTTTTGGATTTTTCCACCGAGCCCTTAAGGCAGGCGACCAGGTGGTGGAGAGGAGGTTAGGTCACGTTGGGCTCTAACACAAATGCATCTCTCGTGATGAAGGGGCAAGATCATCGGGATAGCTGAGCGCGGGTGCCTGAAGAGAACGGCAGCTGCCCGCTCATGATAGGGGAAAAATTGAAGAAGCGGGGTGAGGACCCTCCCTGCGGGGGCCCCTTTTCCGGGGCCTGAGGGGGAACCTGTCCCCGGGAAAGGGACCGTGCCACCTGCCTTCAGGGATGCAAAAATCCAGCAAGGAGCCCACCCTTTACACCCCTTCGTGCTAGGAAAGGCGGGGGATATGGTGCCTGGCAAACCAAAGGCTTTTCGAGGTCCAGGAAGCAACAATTTTGGGTCTCTTGTTGACCCAAGCCTGAAGGGGGTGGGGGGCTCCTGCAGTGCCCCTCCCGTGTGAAGCCGTATAATGCGGTGTTTTCCCGGGGCCCAGTTTTCCCCCATGTCCTCAAGGTATCCTTTCGCAATTTGGAAAGGGGCGCTGGGAGAGAGATGGGCCCCATGCTTTCCGGGGCCCTGGGCTGGGATGGGCAAGATGATGGCCCCCCTTTCCCTGCAGTGGGGGTTCCCAGCCCCCTAGGGCGTTTTTGACCTCCAAAGCGCATCTGTCCAAGGGGCCCCCCTTGTGATCCTGCTGTAGGGGTACCTCCTGGCCCGGGGGGGGGTGTCCCGAGATGTCCTGAATGCGCCTTCAGCTCCTGAACGCTGAAGTCAATGTCGGTGTCATCGTGTTCGTAGCCGCGGCCTGCCTCTGGTGTCTGGGGGGAGGACAGCCTGAAGGTTTTTTGCAATCTGTGGCAGGCGGGCTGTTGCTGCCCCCGAGGTGAAAAGCTCGAAACCCGCCCCTCTGCTTCACCAGCCAGGTCAGTTTGACACGTGTTCCCTTCTTTTCCAGTAGCTAACCCCTTTTCGCCCAATTCAGACAGGGGAGTGGCATGGTCGAAGGGGCACCCATTAAAACCACTTTTTTCAGGTGGAATTTGGGAGATTGGGGAAGGGGCCCCCACCCCCTCCCTCACAGCCGAAGGGTGTCAGCAGTAGGGTTGCGTCTGTGGAGCCTATGGGCACAGTTTGACAAAAGGTGGTTCTGCTCCCTTTACTGTCCGTGTAGAACCACCATCCCCGTTGGGTGCCTCCAGCCTTGGTAATGGAATGGGCCACCTCGCCGCAGGGTGAAGGGCCGCTTGAAGGTTCTGGGGGCCGCATCAGGGTTGTAGAGGGGGGTCCCCCCCAAACCCCCCCCCCTTCTTTCCCCCCCCCCCCAAACCCCCCCCCCCCCCCGCCCCCCCCCCCCCCTTTCCCCCCCCCCCCCTCCCCCCCCCCCCCCCCGGGGGCCCCCCCCCAACACCCCCCCCCCCCCCTCCCCCCCCCGCCCCAGGCAAAAACCCCCCCCCCCCCCCCCCCCCCCCCCCCCTTTCCCCCCCCCCCCCCCCTTCTGTTGCCCTGGAACGCCACCCCTTTTTGGGTTCCCCATGGAGGCGGTGTTTTTATGGGGTGTGCTGAGTAAAGCGCCAGCATGGTGATGATCGCAAAGTGGTCGCTGGTGAGAAGTGGGGGGAGCTCCCACCTCACCCCAGGCTGCAGTCTCGAGAGAGGAGAGTGACATCCAGTCGGTTGCCGCCGTGGTGTCGGCTCCCCATTGTTGAGGAGGACGATCTCGGGAACACCCCAAGCACCGCTGCCAAGGGGCCTGCCATCTCTTTGGGTATGGGGACAGAGCGGAGAAGTCATGATGGGGGGGTTAAATGTCCCCCGCCACGAGCTGCCCTTGAGGCGAGATATGGACGGGGCTGCAACCTCCGGAGGTCGAGGGTAAACCGTGTTGCACGGTACACATTGTAAATAGTCAGTGGTCAGATGGTAGCCCGCAGCATGGCAGCTTGCACCTCCACTCCTTCACCGCAGTTTGACAGGGTCAGTGACGATTGAGTGGGGAATGGAATTCCGCACATAGATTGCGGTGCCCCTGGCGGGGGGGCCCACCACGCTGCAGGTAGCAGAGAACCCAGGGATGCGTGGCTGGGGGGGCGGGGGGGTTTGGAAAGGGGTTTTCTTGGAACAGAAACACATCTATCTCATCCTGGACTGCCGCCTGGATAGCTAGGTGGAGTTTCTGCCTCAGACCACAGATGTCCCCTGGAGGATTTTTAGGGACTGTCGGGTGACCATGGGACCCCAAATCCCCCTGTTGGTCCATGTTTCTCCGGAATATCCGTGGTGTTCTACCAATCCTCGGGTGTGAAACCTGGGTGAGGTGGGCCTGAAGGGATGCTGCGTGGGGCCCTCTCCAGGAGAGCCATGCTGTACACGGTAGTCGGAGATCCTTGCAGACCTGCCTGTCCTTCATTGATGGGATTAGCATGGACAGCACCTTACCACAAGCTTGATTAACGGTGACAATGTGAGCCGGCGAGGTCCCCTCACCTCTGGGGGGACAGGGTTTCCTTGGCTGTGGCCTGTGGTTTTTTGGCCCACTCCTGCGATCGTTGCCGTTGCTGTCCCGCGGGTTTCACACAAGTCTCTGTGGCTTCTGTGCCATCTGACTGGGTGCTGTGGCCTGCTTCCGCTGCATTTGGGTGGGGACTGCCTCTGTTGGGAAGGCCTTGCTGGGGTCCTGTCTGGTGCTGTGTAGCCGCACTCCTTGAGTGGCGTCCCTGAGCCAGGCTTTTTGTGTTCCTTTGTTCTGCTTTTGCTGAGGCTTCGAGACTGCCCTTGCCATTGTTTCCCTTGCCTCAATGTTGGCGGGTGCAACCGGTTTCTCTGGTGATCCCCCCGTGCCCGGGAATTCTCTGCTGTAGGGTGTGGCCGCCCTCGAGGGGCTGGCTGGCTACCGCCAGCGGCCGGTGCTGATAGTTCCATGGGTTGGGGCATGAAGAGGCCATATTCAGGCCCTGTGGGGCATTGGACCATGTCCCCACCTGTTGCTGTTGAGCAT